AAAAAAAAAAAAAAAAAATACTCTGTAAGGTCAAGCAAGATGTCCAACGTCAAATACTAGGGACCTTAAGAAACCACGACGGCGACGGCACGTGCATTTTGAAACTTTGTACACTTCTTAGCCGTCCTATGCAAAACAACAACGTGAAATCGCCAAAATTTGTGTCGTCTGTGAACCGAAACCGCGACGGCAAATTATCTTAACTTCCATTTGGAACTCAACGGCTACTTTATACGTCATGCTGAAATTGAGCTGTGGCGCTGTATGAGACAGTAAGCTCCTGCAGCCATTTTTGAAAATCTAACTAAGAGTAGAAATTTATTTTTTTAATCGAAGTCTTCCTTGGCGTCGCCGTCGTGGTTTCTCAAGGTCCCTACTAATAGTTCGTCGAGTACAAAGTCCTTTAGTTTTCACTGTCTCTCAACAACTAGAAATTAGATTACTACTGAACTACGAAGACGTAAACATGCCTGATATCAACAATACTTTTGCACCCGCTTACCGCAACCCACAAAAATGCATTTAGCGGTTTGTGGTACTGCAGCAAAGCGATGGAAAGCGTGACCGTCCTCCCTTCATTTAAGTAGCAGGTAATGTCACAAAAACATGACAAGACCCGAGAAAACACCAGAGTTTGAGTCAGGTGTAGAGTTGAAAACGTTATTCAAGCCAAGGTGAACCATAAGTATTACAACAACGGTCAAATATGCGGCTTTTTAAGACAATGAAGGAAAGTCTAGGTATTGGAGGCAAAATGATTTATGACTGAAGTTTGCTGTTTATGAAGGAAAACTCTTGCTAAAAAATTATTCTGGGCTTTAGTGCTACTAAATGCCTCGTCTATAACACTACTTATTTTACAAGGAGTTATAACTGAGAATATATGAGGTGAGCTTACTTGTTATTGAATTAATGGTATGAACGGACACATTGAACTGTAGAATGCCGACCCATCAGAGTTGAGCTTTCGTGAACTCCATGTGCTGTCAAGCTTTCAATTATTTAAAGTCGTTGCCATGACTTATGAACAGTTTTTTGCCTTTCTCGTCTTCTCTATCTTTAGATGCCTTTTTGAGCCTTTAAAGAACAAAGGGCCGTTCACTTTTTGCAGGTCCAAGGTGTACAACTGATGAAAATTCTCCAAATTGAATGAGTGAAAAGTCATACCTAACTGTGCTTCTTCGGAGCTTGAAATGTCATCTACTTTTAAAACAAATTTCATCTCCTTGCAAGGAGTACACCTCGCTCATTAATGCATTGTTCTGATTAGACCATGGTTAAACGCTCTTTTCATATACGATGAATATATGAAGTTCATATATTTTGCACTGCGGTCTTAGATACGTATGATGTACGATCCTCGCAG